ATGCATTTATTAAGAGACTAAGTAATTACATGCACTAAAGTATCTAATGTGAAAATGAGCTACCAAAAATCTACAAAAGACAGCACTGTAATTATTAGTGCTAGTTCTAACTACCTGCATCAGCTCAAATTACCTAGATAGGACATACGGTTTAGCAATTCTGTTCCACCATCTTCTGCATAACAGTTATTGCACTGGAACAAATTCACCAATTAAATATAAGACACACAGATCTAAGAGTAGATTGAATCAATGTTGCTTATCCTAAAACTTAGACGCAAAAAAGCCTAACAGACGTATGAGATGGTCATATACTATCTACAGGTCAAGACAATAAATTCTTTTTTAAAAGTTGTTTGAATCTTTTTTTCCCCTCCTCAGAAGAGCAATGGAACAGAAATATATCTTTTTGGAAGCTCTCTAGCACTGATTAGCAAGATTGATGGAACTCAAGAAAAGTTTCTCAAATTTTATACAATTATCAGAAAATTCTGAGGACCTTATGTCACATTTGAAAAGGGATGTGACATATATCCAAATCACTTCAGTCTCCTCCCTTAAAAACAATTGTTTTCCAAATTCTGCTCTGGGTTAAACTACTTTCATGAAATACTTTTCTCAATAATTTAAAATGTTCCTTCTTCCCTTTTCCATCTTTTTCACCTATGGATTTTTTCATAAACAAAAGCCTACCAAAATTTTAAATATTATAAGCTTGAAATATCACATCCCATCAATGCAATACATAGTAAACCTTGATTGCTGTCCAATGTGCTGAAATTATTCATATTAGTTTATTCAGGTAGTAAGTTATGAATTTAATATTCCTGATTTTAAAAGCTAAATTTTTAAATGAACAATTCAATATATTTATAGTTTAGATAACATTTAAAATTCTTTTGATGTAAATTAAGGTACATATTTCAAAGTTTGCTGTTCTTCAAATCAATTCAGATCTTATACAATTCTTTCAGATTTATTCTACTCAACATTCTATCAAATGAAAAAAAAAATCCAAATGTTTTATCAGTATTTTATTATATTACCCAAGATATTTTAGACATGTACTTTCTTTTTAAGTCTCAAAAAAATTTCCCCATTCTTTTAGTAATTGTTGAAAAGGATTACAAATCTTAAATGCTTTATGTTGGGAAATCTAAATAAACCATTGATCATACACCTATAATTTATCCTACATTATGTAACTTTTGGAGTACTAATACTTGACTCCATTTAATGCAATTCCATCTGGCAAGTTAAGATGAGATAATAACTCTCAACCCCCTTTATTACTTTTCATCATTTCCTTCTGCATGGTAGGTAGCTAAATTACACAAATTCTTGAAGTATAATTTCTTATGCTAAATTTTGGAAAATTTAATTTTCAGTCACCAAGTCCAAATGCAAAATATAAATGAACAGCCATAGTTCTGAGGGAAACATTTGGCTGAATAAGTCTTGTACAGTTTTCAGATTACTAAGACCTACAAACTTTCCAGTCAGTATTTTATATGCAAACTACATCATTGTATTATTCACATTGGTGAATTTTGTTAATATTCATGTACTGGAATATATATTATTTACTTTTCAAAAGACACTTTAAAGTGTTCAATCTACAGTAATTGATGTTTGGTCTCATTATTAAGCCAAGCAGTTAGGAGAAATAAATGTTGCAGTTCATAAACTAAAGAGCAGCAATTAACATTTTCTTACTTCAGCTCCATCAAAGGATGTTCTACATTTTGCAAGAATAATAAACAGCACGCATATACAAACACACAGAAACACAATGGGTTGGGGGAGGAATATCCAAAAAAGAGCGAGAGTACCAAGAGAGATAGAATATGTGCAAAACTTAAGTGTTCATTAAATAAGCACAACTATTTTGACTTTCAAATTGTTAAAATGGTTGTGTTTAAGAATAAGTTGAAAACTGCATGGCAAAGATGGAAACCTAGTGGGGAAAGGTTTCAGAGTAGCTTAGATTTAAAGGAAACTTACCCAGGAGGTTTCTCAATGAAAAGATTTTTAATTTGAGACAAAAGTTTTCTAAGAAAACAATCTAATCTTCATGGAAACACACATTATAAATTTTATTCTCAATTTCTTCAGATCACAGTAAGTTCCATTAGGCTTTTCAACATTCTTGAGAAAGTAAGCAAATGCCTTTGTTTGGGGACATAACATCTCCCCAGGCTTATTTTCATAATCCAGGTCTATGGTGACTGGGATTTTTTGAGAGGTCAGTATATTTTAATGGCACCAAGTTAGATAAAGCAGTTTAGAGCATAATCCAAGCATTTTCAGTGTAAAAGATTTATTTGGAAGACAAATTTATGTGGAAAGAATTTCCTGATGATAAAAGTTTAAGAGCAATTAGAAAACAGAAATCTAGATTAGGCCTTCACTTAAAGACAGGAATGACAGGAATATTAATATATTCCCTTTTTATGATATATATTTTAAAAGCATGGAAATGTGAAACAGAAAAGTGACAATGAGATCATTTATGCCGATGAAAACATAGTGTTTTAAATTGGTCAAGCTGGAATCTACTGATGTCATCCAAATAACGAAAGACATTGGAAAAAATGTCTATGGACATTCTCTTTCATCCAGGTCAAGCAAAGGTGCTTTTTAAAAAAGCAACTGGATTTTGTTTTTCCTTGAAGACATTTTGCTCCTCATCACTTCTTCAATTCTGACTGAATGGTGGAGAATGGAAGGATTTATAAATAAGGAATATAAATCTTTCTATTTTCCACCATTCAGTCAGAACTGAAGAAACTTCTTGGATGATGACCAAAATGTCTTCAAAAAAAAACCAAGAAAGTCCAGTTTCATTTAAAAAAAACATCTTTGGAACAATGAAAAAAAATGAATCTCAAACTATATAGCCTCAAGCATATTCCAATAAGAGTTTGAGGGGTAAGAATGAAGCAACTCATCAATTTTCAGTTATAGTTCTATATTAAAATAAAAGCGCATAATTTTATTTAAGCATTCTCTAAAACAGTTACAATACAATGCTTTGTTAAATATACTCCTCTGTGTGAGACAGCATAAAAAAGACTCTAAACCTGCAAATATAAAGAATAAATTGAGATGCAGCTTAGAAAATTGTGTAAGGTAAATTATAATCTAGCTTGAATATGATTTCTTTGTCTTTGAGGGTAGAAAGAGGCTAATTCTCTGAAAATGTGGGAGTCGAGATTTTGGCATCTTTTAAAATAAAGAATGTGTAAAGGCTTTTTATATTCCTGAACTAAACTTAATTCTAGATTGAAAATACAAAAAATTCTCTATTGTTACTGATATTGTACAGGCATCTTTGTAGTTCAGTGGGTAAACAACTGAACAGGTAAGAAATTCAAAACAGCATATGATAGTCTTGTCACACATTTCTTTATGGATGAAGTTTATCAAAACTTGTCATTCCTACAAAAAAGAATAGCATTAATTTTCAAAGTTTTATTGTATTATATTTCTAAATCTTCCTGAACTACTTCTGCTGTTCCACCATAAGATCATACAGTATATTGTATATTTATACAAGCAGCCCAAGCTTCCCAATTAACTACCACCAACATCCCTTTCAAAATAAAATGAGGAAGAATTTTTATTTGAGGAATGCTCTAGTGTCCCATATTTTAATCAATACTAATTTTACGAACCTCATACAGTTTACGTGTATCAAGTTACTTATGTAATTTGTAATTACATATTACCTATGTAAATGTATGGTAGGATATTAATTTTTATTCAATCAGGATCAAATCTGTATAATTGTTTTATTAATGGCTTCTTTCTTAGACACTCTTTCCTTTAAAGTTGATTCTCAGTAAGTGAAAGTCTGATATTTTACAATCATCAGTACTTTTTCAATATCATGACTATACTTGGTCTATCTGGAGAAAACAGCTTTTTTTTTTTAGAAACGTAAGAATATTTGTAGCTGAAAACAGGACTCATAATCTCTACATTAGTAACAAGCCAATTGGCAGTAAAGTCAGTAAATCACCTATTTTATACTAGCAGCATAAATTGCTGTCTGGAATTGACAAATAAATCATATAAACTATGAAAAAGAGTTATAAAAAGGACACCAATAGAAAATGCATGAAATCTTCCTCTATTAAATATTTCCATTTGTTTTATTCTCAGTCACATTCATTCACAATTGAAAATGTATGTTAAAGGTCAATTGGGAATGTTTACAAGACAGCATAATTTTAAAAGGCAAGCAGCTTCTCCACATAGTATTAAAGCCTTCAACCTGAACCGCATTTATAAAATCATTGCCACAAAACATGCTTTATTTATAAATATGTCCTACTATAAAGTGAGAGGATGGGGGGGGGTCTTTTTTTTCTGGAAAAGAAAGGAAACAATGGGATGGGGGGGGAAGGGCAACTCAAAAGAATAATTAATTGTGTATTTCAGAAAATTTGGTGGACTGATGCTATTACTGTCTGAAGATATTTTGATACAATGAAGATATTTCGATACAATTCTCTTTTGAGACATTTCCCCTAGTCTATGGAAGAAGATGCTGGGTTGACTTTTAGCATGCCATCTAAAAAACACAAGAAAGAATAGTCTCTATTGTTTGCAGAATCAATGGACTGTTTCTCCTTCTGTGTGTCCCCCCCCACTCCCTTCCCTGCAAAAGCGCCCTTTCAAAATGTACAAAGCTGACAATTCACATTTGTTTTTTAGTGTTTGTCCCCTACACAAGTGTTGCTTATTGCTCCCCTAATGTGGGGAGGGAGTTTGTATTTGAGAAGCCTCTATCAGCAAGGCACCCAAAAGATTTCAGGAAGGCACCCAAAAGGCATTTCAGCACACTTGCAACCCACCTATTGGGTAAGAAGAGATAAATCTCCATCCTAATCCTTCCTGTTGAGTCAACAGGGATGTTTCCACCTCCTCCCTCGCCCTTTCAACCATTAGTCGTCCCTCAGCCAAAACCAAGGGCTCGTTCCTCCTCCTCTTACCTCGACTTCCCTGTTCTTCTCTTTGTTTCTACCTACGGAACTTCTCCCATTGCTGGTCGTCTCCTGCGCTGGGATTACCGAGATCCGCCGGAGAGGCATTTGGACCAGGCTGCGGGTTGCCTGAGCCTGATTGGAGGACGCCTTTCGGATTCACTCCCTCTGAGTAGCCCACCTGGAAGACTGTTCATATCCTCGCGTCGCCAAGAGTCCCCCCGCGGTCCTTGGGGGGGGGGGGGGACAAAAAAAATCAAAATCAAAAGAGCGATTCCTGTGAGGGGAAAGGAACGGAAAGCAAAGCCGCCGCAAGCCGCCCTTGCCCGCGACTTTCACAAGGCAGAAGAGCTCGGCCCACAAAAGGCAGAATAAAATATTCCAGGAGTTTTGAAATTCTCCGAAGAGGCAGAGTTCCTCCGAGTCGGAACTCCGCAGCTTTTAGTCACTGGAGCCACCTCTTCCCCACCCACCCAGCCACCGCCATCCCTTTTCTCCAGAGCATTGTGGGAGAGACAATTTCAATGTCTCTGTTACCTAATAACTGTCATGGAAACGGAAGGCACAGCTGGGTCTTGATTAAAAAAGAAGAAGAAGAAGAAGAAGAAAAGGCGTTCCTTTTCCTCTCACGGCTTCTCGGGCGCTTCCATTTTTTTTATTTTATTTTATTTTTTTCTTGCACCGTCGCTTGGGTGACTCCTCGTTTTGACCGCCCCGGCTGCTCGTGCTGCCGCCTCGTCTCCTCAGAGAGAGAGCAGGCCAGCCGCAGCCCGTCTCGGCCGGTCTCGCCTGACGCGCTGGCGCTGCCTTATAAGTAATCAAATTAAGGGCAACCGGCGAAAGGCGCTTATAAGCGTCCTATTTTGGAACCAAAAGCTCTTTTCCCCTCCCCGGAAAGCACCTCCTCGCCCTGGCCTTCAACACGCCTTCCAGTAATCTACTTAGGGTTCAAAGGGAGCTTGCCCCGAAAGGGGGGGGGGGGGGGAAAGGAAGGGTTCAAACCAAAAAAAAAAAAATGGGGTCGGGGGGGAAAAAAAAAAGAGCAGCAAATTGCAAACGAGCCTCCCCGGGGCAAACCAGTAGGGGAGGAAAAAAAAAATCAAAAAAATTAACCCTTTCCTTCCGGCCTCTTCAGCAAAAGTAAAGTAAATAAATAAACAAAAAAAATAAAAAAAAAAGTTTAAAAAAAATTAAAAAAAGGACGTTGCCGCTTTCTGGGCGTTTTTGAGTAAGGGGAGTCCATGACAACAAGAGAAACAGGAGCAACGCAGTTTTAACCTTGCTGAACGCTGAGGCGATTCAAGGAATTTCCATAGTGCCTGGTTTTTTGTTTTTTAGGGGTTTTTGTTTTGTTTTTGTTTTGGCACTGAATGGGATTCCAATTTGGTGAATTTCAAAGATGCTGGGACAGGAAAGGCCAATGGCTTTTCCCTGCTAGGGCAGGGCACCTGGGTTCCTTGGTAGACCTTTCCTTTCTGTCATCTATGCCAGAGGTCTCCAACCTTGGCAACTTAAGACTTGTGGACTTTAACTCCCAGAATTCTCCAGCCAGCTCTGCTGGCTGGAGAATTCTGGGAGTTGAAGTCCACAAGTCTTAAAGTTGCCACAGTTGGAGACCTCTGATATGCCACCTCACCCTTCGCCCTGCCGTACCCACTATGGGGCCTTTCTTTCTCCTTGGCTCTTTTATTTATTTATTTATTTGATTTATTTGATTTGTCAATCGCTTATAAGATACAGATATAAGAATAAACATAGTTTTGAACACATGAGATGGAGACTTAGAAGAAAAATAAAAAGAAACAATAGGACAAGGACGGTAGGCACGTTGGTGCGCTTATGCACGCCCCCTACAGACCTCTTAGGAAAGGGGTGAGGTCAATAGTAGACAGTCTTAAGGTTAAAGTTGTTGGGGTTTGGGGAAGAAACCACAGAGTCAGGTAGAGTATTCCAGACATTGACCACTCTTGTTGCTGAAGTCGTATTTCCTGCAATCAAATTTGGTGCGGTTTACCTTGAGTTTGTATCTATTGTTTGCTCTTGTATTGTTATGGTTGAAGGTGACGTATTCATTGACAGGTAGGACATTGCAATGTATGATTTTATATACTATATTTTGATCGGCTCGTAGGCGGCGTAGTTAAAGGTTTTCTAGGTCTAGAGTTTCAAGTCTGGTGGCATAAGGTATTCAATGAGTAGAGGAGAGGAGAATTCTTCTTCTGAAATATTTCTGGACTTTCTCAAGTGTGTTAATATCAGATACATGATGTGGGTTGCAGACTCATGAGCTGTATTCAAGTATAGGTCTAGCAACTGTTTTATATGCTCTAGTTAGTAGTGTGATATTACCAGAGAAGAAACTACGTAGGATTAGATTAACAACTCTTAATCTTAAACTCTTAGCTTCCTGTCTCTCAATTAAACAATGTCAAACAGCCTCTAAAAGTTGAATCTATCTGGATTGTTCTGGATTCCAACAACTCTTTCAACTGAAATTCAACTAACATTTAATTGGTGGGATTCCATTATTTTTTTACTACCGGTTCTGTGGGTGTGGTTTGGTGGGTGTGGCAGGGAAAGGATACTGTAAAATCTCCAGTCAGAGGTGGTATTTGTCGGTTCTCTGAACTACTCAAAATTTCCACTAACGGTTCTTCAGAACTGAAGACCACCTCTGATACAAAACCTTTGCCAGACCAGTTCTTGAATACAGTTTGTTCACCTGGAACCCGCACTGTATATCGGACATTAACACAATTGAGAAGGTTCAGAGGTATTTCTTGAGAAGAGTACTCTACTCCTCTACTCACAATAGAATTCCCTATGCCCCCAGGCTTGAAGTTTTGGTCTTGAACAATCTTGAACTGCGCCGCCTGCGGTCCGATCTAAGCATAGTACACAAAATTGTCTGCTACAATGTCTTGTCTGTCAGCGACTTCTTCAGCTTCAGCCACAATAATACATGGGCAAACAATTGATATAAACTCAAAGTAAGCCGCTTCAAACTCAGTTGTAGAAAATATGACTTCAGCAACAAGAGTGGTCAACGTCTGGAACGCTCTACCCGATTCTTGTCACAGCCTCAAACCCTCACAGTTTCAACCTCAAACTGTCTACTATGAACCTCACCCCATTCTTAAGAGGTCCTTAAAGGAGGCGTGCGTAAGCGCACCAGTGTGCCTACTGTACCTCTCTTACTGTCCCCATTTATCAGTATTTACATTTGTTCATGTTTATGTTCATGCCTACACTTGTTATTTTGTACATGTTTGACAAACTGGATTCATACTGGAGCAGCTGAACTGCAGCCAAGGACCAGGACAGAAAGACTGGAAGATTCCTGCACTTTCTGGAGATGGCTAGGACTTCACCTTCACATGGTAGTGGGAACTTCAGTAAGATCACAGAGGGAAGACAAAGATGCAGAAAAGAATGTTCACATATTGTATAATCCCCATCCCACAGCTTTCTTTGTATGGTGAAGCAGGTTTCCATCTGGCTGTTCGATTTCTATGGAATACAGCATCAAAGGCCTGAAATGGCTTCTTTCATCCTCTAGTGCATGGGTGTCAAACTCGTGGCATCGTCACATTGCCGTAATGTGATGCTTCACAACATTTTTGCTGAGGTGGGCATGGCCTGCATGTAATACATCTGGCCCGCAGGCTGCCAGTTTGACAGTCTTTGTCTAGTGAATGCTTTTGGCTGTGACTAGAAACTTGCTGTTTCCAAAGCCACTGGCAACCAGTTGCAGAAGTTGTCAGTTTCTGGAAGTAGGAGAAAAGAGACATTTAGCTTGATCTAATTACAAGGACAGTTTACCAATTCCCACCAGTATGGGAATGATGAAGCTCCGGCCATCTCCAAAAACAGTTTATATGCTGTGCCATAATGTGGACAGTTGTCTTTCACCAGGGACTTAGTCAGGGGTGGGATACGACAGGGTTAACTACCAGTTTGGGATTTACGAGTTTCAGTGATTTATGATGTGCTTCCCTGCACGCTGAGAGCCGCGCGCCTGTAAATCGTCATCAGCATGCTGCGTGCAGAGAAGCAGCCTTTGAAACAGCCCTCTTTTCTTGCTTTTCTAACTGCAGCTGTGCCTCGTTCGGCAGCTGAAGTTGAAAAATCAGGAAATAAAGATCAGGTAAGAACCCGGGTGGGCAGGTGCGCAAATACATCAGCAGACATATGCCTGCTGCTCTTCAGAGCTACCGGTTCTACAGAGGTGGACAGAAACCCACCCCTGGACTTAGTGGAAATTAGGAAGCGGGTCTGAGGAAAAGAATATAAATGATCAAAATAGACTTATAAAGGAACATATGAGATATCCATTACTGTACTGCCTGCTTGTTCCTCCTCACACAGTTGTAGAGTGCTGGAGGCAATCATACCTAACTGAACAGTGATGCTACAGGTTAAGTCACAATTTTTCTGCTCTTCCTTGAATTATGGAAGCACCATCAGGTTCACAATTTTGACACAGGCTTTTAGTAGCCTGTCCTGGTTGTCCAGGTCTACACCATTGCCCTGGAAATCATTGCCTGACGCTCGCCACTGGAGCGCCCTGAGCCAGCTGGCTTCGGGGCTAAGCCACCCCGTAGAGGTGGTGAAGAGAGTGGAGATCACCAGCAGGGTCGAGGAGAGCCACATCTTTCCTCCTCAGCTGGCCAAACTCCCTTTCCTGAAGGCGGTAAGAGCGGTGGTCAGAAATGGCCACCTTAAAGAAGAACTCAACTGGAAAAGAACGTGCAGGAGGAAGATAAGAAGTGAAAGTTTTGGCTGACTGGGATAAAAAGCAACAACTAAGGTACCCTGGAATTTAAATTTTATAAAAGATAACATCGCTCCCAAAGAAGATTCGGAAGCAGCGAAAGAAAGTGAAAAGGGAAAGTTTTTTTTTTCTTCACTCTCCTTCCTCGCATTGACAACGAACTGAGCTGAATAAGAAATCAGAAAAATCCGCTTTGGCACCAATAGGTAATTAAGCTGAAAATAAAATTTGCCAAAGGGACAATAAAGATTTCTGGACACTAAAAAATCCTTTTTTTTTTGTTATAAGCAGGAAGGGAGAGGAAAAGAATAAGGGCAGGATTTGGAAGGTGGAGACTGCCGGGAATTTAAAAGAATCTAAAGTTAAATATCAATAAAACTTTTAAAGGATACATTTTAACCAGAACTTTGTAACTAAATAGTAACCCCAGGAAGAGAAAGTGAAAAAAGAAGAAAGTGTAAAAAGA